TAAAAAAAAAAAAAAAAAAAAAAAAAAAAAAGTGTTAATTGAATTATTTAAATAGGTATACATTAAAAAAAAAAAAAAAAAAAAAATTTCCAACATTTTAAATTTAAAAATTTCTTGCATGTAAATAGGAATTATATAAGTAGAACGAAAGTAAAGAGCTTAAAAGTATAAAGAATGTGTTATACTGAAATAGTAAATCATTGATAATAACAAAAAAAAAATAAAAAAAAATTAAATTAATAAATTTTTACATCTAGATATAAATGTTGTAGTAATATAAGTAAATTACACAAGTTTATTATTAGAAGAGAAAATGTAGAATTTGAAAAAAAGTTATAAACACATTTTTAAATTGAAAATAAGTAAATAACAAAAAAAAAAAAAAAAAAAAAATATATATATATATATAATAAATTTAGTGATATGTAAAAATAATTAAAATATAATATATTAATTTTATACAAAAATTGTATAATTATTAGAATTTCATTAAAACAAATGAATAAACAAAACCTTTTATAAACTGTTTGTTGTAGATATAATAAGATCTTAATTTATTGGAAGTTTTCATTCAATGTATTTTACCCTATAAAATAATCAAAGTAGAAAAAAGGATACTTTTATATTTTTAAATTAAATAATAAAAACTTTGTTAAAAAAAAAAAAAAAAAGAAAAAAAAAAACACTTATTTTTTAATTAATGAAAAACAGAAGGAAAAAAAAAATAACATTAGACATATGACACTTTTGTGTATTTTTCTTCATTTTTAAAGAGTTGATGTGTTTCTTTATGTTTTAATAGTTTAATTCTTCTTGAAACAAAAATTTACTTTTATAAATTTTATTTAAATAAAATTAAATAAAAAAAAAAAAAGTGTGTTTTTTCAGTAAATAAAATTATAAAAAAATGCTCTATAAAAATTATTTTTATGTTTTTAAAATCATTATGAGATACACTGTACGATTTTTGTAATAGTAAAATATAATTATATAAATAAAATATATAAAAAAAAAAAAAAAAATGAAGAATAAATAAAAAGTACAGTTCACATATTTAAAGAAAAAAAAAAATGAAAGAGTGTTATACAGGAACATTTTCACTTAATACTGACACATATTAGGAATATTAATAAACGTCTCTTTTAATTTTATAAAAGAAATAAAAAATTAAAATTTCTCCTTTTTATTTCTATATTTGCATACAATTAATTTTTTTTATAACTAGAAAAGTTTTTGTCTTGTTACGTTTTGTTTTGTTTGCTTTATTTTTTTATTTTTTTTGTTTTATTATTTTATTTTTTTTTTTTTTTTTGGTTTTTTTTTTTTTTTTTTTAAACTATAATGACTACTGAGACATTAAAGGAAAATGATATCAATAATATGATTCTAAATCTAATGGAGAAAAAAAAGAAAGAAACATTACCGAAGAAAACTAAATGTAAAAGAAATATTAAAAAAGGAAATCCTGATAAAAATCAAATAAAAAGGTTTTATTGGAAAAAAACAAAAAAAATTAAAATTTATTTAACAAAACATAATAAGAATATTTTTTAATTTTTTTAATAAATAAGTAATTTAGATATTTTTTTTAAAGAACAAGAGGAAATTTATAAAAATGAAGAAATTAATATAATAGACTATATACAAAAAGAAGCAAAAAACAAAGAAAAAGAAGTATATTATTTTATTAATTTATATTAAAATTTATATTGTACTTATATATCATTAAATTACTCCAATTTTTTTCTTTATTTTTGTAATTTCTTTAATTAGTTGAACGATTACTACATGTATTGTCAAAATTTTAAAAAAAAATATAAAAATAATTTTAATGATACAATTATGAAATCTGAGGTTAGACTCTTTTTCTTTTCACAAGAAGAATATATATATTTTTATATATTATATTCATTTTTACATATTTTTTTTTCTTTTTTGAAATGTTTTAAAAGGAGATCAAAAAGGATCTAAAAGATTTACATATTGAATATTTAGACAACAAAATACTTTTAGGTTAGAAATGAAGAAATTTTTTACAGAATATAGTATTTTATTTATATATAAAACGAAAGTTTATGTATATGTAGAAAACATTACAAATTATTTAAATTTCAAATTGATTTTTTTTTGTTTTATTTTTCATAGAAAATAAGAGGAGAATAGAATTAGATAGTATGTCCAATTTTTATAAAGAAAAATTATTAGAAGTTAAAAGACAGTGGGATAATAAAACTTTTTGTGATGAAAATTTAAAAAATATAGTTTATGATATATTAAATGTAATAAATTAAATATTTAAATTTTTTTTTTTTTTTTATTCCCTCCTTTTAATATTAATTCATAATTTTTTTTTATTTTATTTAAATATTTATATGTTCAATTATATCAAATTTTTTACTTTTATAATAATTTAAAACATAGATTAAAATTTGAAAAATAACTATGAATGGAAAAAAAAAAAGTTGAGTAAAAGTCTCATATATTTTAAGTTTTAAAATATTTTTGAATGACTTTTTAATATATGAGTTAAAAAGATAATTAGTTTTTTTGTCAAGATGTTTTATATATATATATATATATAATAATTAATATTAAAAAGTAAAAAAAAATTATTTATTAAAATATATAAAAGAAATAAATATATCTGAAAATTATAGTAACAAAGGAATTTGAGTAAAGAGAATACAAATTTATGCATAAGTTTAGCAAGATAACTGGGAAAAAAAAAAAAAAAAAAAAAAAAAAAAAAAAAAATATTTACATATTACTCAATAATCTTCAAAATCTTCATAATTTTTTTTTTTCGTTTTGTTAAAAAGTTGCAAAAAAATAATATTTTGTCCATTAGAAACAAAACGTAGAATAAGTTTAAATTTTAATTGAGTTTTTTCTTTATATTTTTCTTGTGCAAAAACATATGTATTTAAAATTTCTGACCTTAAAATTAATTTTTCTAATTTCCTTATTTTTTTTTTTTCCAAATTCAATATATTTGTAATTATGATGCAATTTTCGACTATGCTATTTAATTTTAAAAAATCTAAAGAGCAAAACTTTATGTTTTCTGAAGAAAAATGATTATTACATAATTTTAATTTGTTTTTATTTTGGAATATTTCTTTTAAATGAAATGTGTTAAGAGTATTAAAATCATAATAACAATTATTTTCCCTTTTAGAACTTTTATATTCATTACTAGTTAATTTATCGTATTTATTACAATTATTATTTAAATTTTCTTCATTATCATCCCCAAAAGATAATGATACTGTATTATCATTTACTTTATTATTATTATTATATTCTTCATTAATGGTTAATGGCATTGTATCAAAAAACTTTTTTAAATTATGATTTGCTTTATAAATATTATCTTTATTTTCATCTGCACCTAACAAATGTACTTGATTTATATATTTATGTGGGTAAATATTTATATCATTTAATACGTTATAAAATGTTGAAGGTGAATGCAATGGAAATGTTAAAATAGGATAATCAATACTTGGAGACCCATTTGGAATAGATAATAAAATACTCAGAATTTCTAATAAAAGTGTGCCATCACTACAGAATGGATCAATAATATATAATTTTTTTGATGAATCTAAATATTTTAAAAAATTAATTTTAAAAATAGCTGATGCAACAATAGTGCTTTTTAAAGAATTTTGATTTTTATATGCTACATATATACGATTATTCATATCATTACTTAGATTTATATTTATTTTGCATTCATTATATTTAAATAATATATTAATTTTTAATGGTTCTAATTTAGAAGGATCTATTTTTTTTTTTTTTAAAAATATATTTTGATCACCGTTTTTTTCAATGTATAATTGTTGCTGTCTTTTTATTACACTTAAAATAATATTTTTTAACATACATGTATGATATAATCGAGATTTTATACTTCGTATATTTATTTGTGGTGCAACATAAACACTACTGAATGGAATATAAGCAGACCAATTTATATTTTTAATATCATTTATAAAATTATTTTCATATGCACAGTAAGAGTTATGTATTTGAAGTCTAATTTGTTCAATTGTACGACTATTTATAAGTAGTTTATATAAATAATGTAGATTTGATTCAATTTCAATATTATTATTGCTAAAAATATGGTTATATTTTTCGTCGTATATACTTTCTAACGTTAATGTATCATCATTTTTATAAGGAACAACACAAGAATATTTATAAAGTTCTTCTTCTTTATAATTTAATAAACTGGTACTATAACATTTCTTCCATTTCTTTAAAATTTTTGATTTAATAAATATCTTATTTAAATTGTATTTTAATAACATTTTACATTTTTTCATAATTTACTATTCAAATCATTGTTTTTATAATTTTTTTTTAAATTGTATGAACCGTTCATAATTTAAAAAAAAAAAAAAAAAAAAAAAAAAAAAAAAAAAAAATTTCTATACATGTATTAAAGATAACATTTATAATTTGCACTGTTATTTTTTATTATGTTTTATTTTGTTACTTTTAAAATTTTTATAACAATAAATAATTTTGTAAGTACATTTTCATTCTTGTATTCTTTTTATATGTGTATATTTTTTTTTATATTTTTTTTTGAATATCGTTAAAAAAAAAAACGTTGGTGAAAATATAAATAACATAAAATGACAGCATAGAAATAATTTTAAATTAGAACAATAATATGGAAAGTATAAGCTAAAAAATAAAATCATAAATATAAATAAAAATTTAGATGTATATTCATATATATATGTGTGTTATTTTTTTTAAATACAATTTACTAATTTCATAATTTATGAAGTTTTATTATATAGAAATAATAATGAAAAAAAAAAAAAAAAAAATGAAATAATTTTAAAATAAAAAAAAATTAATAATATTAAATGAATAATCAAAGTGAATAAAAAATTTATTTGATACATTTATTTGATACACTTTTTTTTTTTTTTTTTTTATTAACAGAATTTGATTTCTTCCTAAAAGAAATAATATATAAGAACATTTTTGAGAATTGTAAATGTATTGTTATATAAGTGATGGAATTAGTAATAAAGGAACCATATATAGTAATATTTGAAAAGATATTAAAATTATTTACATCAATTTGTGAAAATTTACATTTTAGGTTAACACAAAATAAACTACAATTAAGCGGATCTAATAGCTTAACTAATGAATTAATTATATATATAGATAAGAAATTTTTTTTATTAAATGAAATAAATTCTGATATAAGAAATATAAATGGCACTGTTAATTCAAAAGATTTTTATAATTGCATATATAGTCATAAAATTGTAAAACAATTTAAAAATAATGGATATTACTCCTGTAATAAAAATAATAATGAGATAAAGTTAGCAAAAAATTATGACAAGGAAGATAAGTATCAAGGAAAAAATAAGAAATGTAATTTAAATATTTCAAAATTGATATTAAAATTTAATAAGGAAAAAATAAATATCTTAGAAATAGTTATAAAATTTAAAAAATGTAATACTCATTTTAGTGCAATATTAAAATTAAGATCATTTAATACCCCATTAAAAAATTATATGTATAAAAATGAATCAATTATACAAGTTGAACCGACCCTATTCCTTCTTAACCTCAAAGACTTAGCTAATGAAAGAAATATTTTTTTAAAAAATACTGATAATTCTTTCGTTATAAGCTCATTAGAAACATCTGAATTTAGTTTAAATAAAGAAAAAGTAAAAAGGGAACAATTTTTTTATAACAATAAATTTATTGCCATTCCTTCATGTAAAACTAAGTATTTTTTTAAAAATAAAAAATTTGAAGACCATAATATGTCACTACCTCTCAATGAATTAAAAAATATAATTAAATTTTGTTCAGATTTAAATCTATTATGTTTATTCTCAACAAAAAACTTTAAAGAAAATTTGATTATTTATTTTGGTAGCATTATTACTCATATTTTAGAAAAAAATAGAAAAAGAATAACCAATATAAGAAAAAAAAGAATTTATGATGATAAGTATTATTATAAAGATAATTATTCAGAAGGAAGTCCCCTTATAAATTTCAAAGAAGAACATTCCAATTCTTGTGTTTTTTATTTATCTGATGATAACTCAAGTGATGAATTTGATTCTAGTCTGGAAGATATAGATAAAGATGGTTATTTTCTTGACCATTATGAAACAAATTCTCTTGATGATAGACATTTTAACGATATTATTACAGGTTATATGCATTTTACGTCATACTTTAATATTTCATGCAACTTTAAGGAACTTCAATGCAATGATAGTAAAGTTCCAAATGACTTTCAGCAAATAAACTTTAATCAACATAATAATTCTTTTGAAAAAAAAGAAAATATGACAATAAAACAAGATAAGAAATTAAAAAAAGGGTTTCACCAAGAGTCTTTTTTTAGAAGTGATCTCAGTAAATCTAATATGGGCACTTTGAATAATTCTAGTAATAAAAAAAATGAATTGTTTAATGAAGTAAATAAAAAATTTAATATTAATGAAAATAGTAATGGACAAAATTTAAAAAAAGATAACATTTCTGACATAACCAATATGAAGAAAAATTATTTAAATGAACCATATGACGATTATAGTTATAATTTGAAATTTTTAAAAAATAATAAAAACGATACCTTAGGTAAAAAGGAACTTAATACATTAGATCAAAATAATAATAGAAACGGAGAATGGAACTGTGATAATTTTATGAAAAATAGCAAAAATAAAGAATTTTTTTATGATAAAAATATCATAGATAATGGTGACATATATAAAATGATTAGAAATAATAATGATAATAAATATGAAAAATACAACTCTAATAAAGATTTCAGTGACATTAATAATAATAAATATGAAAAATACAACTCTAATAAAGATATCAGTAACATTAATAATAATAAATATGAAAAATACAACTCTAATAAAGATATCAGTGACATTAATAATAATAAATATGAAAAATACAACTCTAATAAAGATATCAGTAACATTAATAATAATAAATATGAAATATGTTACAAAAATAATAATATCAGTAATACTAATGATAATGTTTATGAAAAATATGATTATAACAAATATATGAATAACAATAACAATAATAACAAATGTGAAAAAGATGATTATAACAAATATATAAATAACAATAATAATAATAACAAATGTGAAAAAAATGATTTTAACAAATATTTAAATAACAATAACAATAATAATAATAACAATGAAGAATATGCCTATAATAATGATATGAACAAAAACAACTATAATAATAATAAATATGAAAAATGTTACAATAATAAAAATATCAATAATGCTAACGATAATATTTATGAAAAATATAAATATGATAAAAATATTAGCAACAATAGTAATAATAAATATGAAAAATATGATTATGATAATGATATGAAGAACAACAACAATAATAATAAATCTGAAAAAGATGATTATAACATATATATGAATAACAACATTAATAGTAATAAATATGACAAATTTTACGATAATAAGGACATTAGTAACAGTAATTTTAATATATATGAAAAACATAAATATGATAAAAATTTAGGAAATAATAGTAACAATGAATATGAAAAATATAACCATAATAAAAATATCAGTAATAGTAATGAAAACTTATATGAAAAACATAAATATGATAAAAATTTAGGAAATTATAGTAACAATGAATATGAAAAATATGATTTTGATAAGATAAATGGAGATATTAAATTTGAAGAATTGAATTATGATAAGTTTATAAGAGGTAATACTAATATTTCAGATGCTTATATGAACATAAAAGTGAAAATAAAAGAACTTGACTCAACTTTGGAAAATTTGAAAAATATAGATAATTATAAAAAAAATTGTGTTTTAAATAAAAAATTGAATAATTATGTTGGTATATCCTCTGATTATAATGCATCTAAAAATATAAATAAAAGAAAAAATTTTGTGGATAACTTTCAAATAAGGAAAAGAAATAAAAAAATTTCAAACGATAGTTATAAAGATTTAAAAATAAAAAGGAATAATTCTCATGAAAGTATAAGTGAATATAACTCAATGGTAAGTGATAGTTTTTATTCTTTAAGTGAAGATAATGAAATAGAAAATAATTCAAAGTATGAAAATATAGAATATTTTGATTATTTTAATAAATTGTATTCAAAATATAATATATATAATAATATGAAAAAGTGGGAAATAAATTCAGGTGAAAATTTTGTGAAACAAAATCTTCCTTTAGGAAATGGTGATAAAACTAATGGAAAATTACATCTTTTGAATTATAATAAAAATTCAAAATATAGAAGATTGAATACAAATAACAGTAATACAGTTATAAAAACAAATGAAAACAATATACATAATTTAAAACATAACAATAAACAATCTTATTATACAAACTGCAAATTTAAAAATAAAAAATGATTTTATAAAAAAAAAAAAAAAAAAAAAAAAAAACATTTTTTATAAATATAAATTATAATTATATTATTTAAAAAAATAATTTGAAAATGAAAAAAATAATTAAAATTATGTATCTATTAATAATAAAATTCTTTTTATTAAGAGTTACACATTTCATAACAAAGATTTATATAAAAATGAAATGTTTTCTAATATTTATTATAATTATATTTTAATTAATAATTATAAGTATTCTTATTAAAAATTAATTAGTTTTATATTCAGTAGCACTATGAATTTAAACTTACATGTGTATATTATTATTAAACGAATCAGAATATTTAAATATTTATATGTATTTAATTAACAATATGAATTTATTAAGTTGAAGTAGTGATATTTTTTGTAATATTAAAACTTAAAAATAATTTCTAAAAATTATCATATTTAGATCTACATATTTCTTTCTTTTAAACTCAAAATATCAGAATTCATTGAAAAATATATTTAACATAGAAAAATGATAATTTATTATATTAGAAAATTAAAAAAAAAAAAAAAAAATCATTGAATATAATAAACCATTTTTTCCCATATTACTACATATATATGTATATTTTAAATATATAAATATAATTTTAAAAAATCTTAAGTATATATATATATATATATATATTTTTTATTTTATGTAATATTTACATAGTAATTCCTTAATGACAAAATAATTTTTTTTTTGTTTCTTTTCAAAAGAACTACGTTCATTAAAAAAAAAAAAAATATCATTAGATATATATTTAGAATCTTGAACTAGTTACATATTATAATTTTATTATTTTATTTATTTTTTTTTTTACATTATATGATAATTTATAAGAATGAAATATAATATGATTTAAAAATTATTTTCATGAAGTATCCTTATTTTTTTGTAAAAAACTAATTATATTAAAAAAAAAAAAAAAACTGTTCTAAAATCTATTTAGCTATTTTTATATGATCATTTTTTAAATATATAAGAATACTATATAGTATATTTTTTTTTTAATATAAAAGTTGATATTTTTCTTAAGTTAGAAAAAAATATTATTATCTAATAGTTTCATAACAATCTGAAAAAGAAGGAATAAGAGAAAAATTATTATTTTTTGGGAAAACATTCCAAAATCTGATTGTTTCATCTGGAGAACCAGAAGCGATTGATGTTCCATCTGCACTTAATGATAAATATAGTACTCTTAAATTATGACCTGTTAATATAGAAACTTTTTGTAATTGAGGATAATTCCATATTATAATTTGATTAAGTGAATAACTATGAGTTGATATAAATTCTTGAGTATTTGTAGACCATAAAATATTTGAAACTTGAGAATTGGTATCTATTTCATTTATACATTTACCATTCGTAGTATTCCAAAAAAATATCTTTTTATCAGCTGAACCACCACCACTAATGAGTAAATTATTTTTATGGGGACACCATGAAATAGCTTTAACTGCAGCTTTATGTTTTGTAAAATGGAAAACATAATTATTTGTATTATTTTCCCATATATATATAGAATTATCATTGCTTCCTGAAGCTAGTTGTTTTCCATCATAATTCCATTCTAAACCACATACTTCAGATTTATGTTTTGTTAATTGCACATAATTACTTTCTTTACTTCTTAAATCACAACTAAAAATATTATTATCTCTACCACCTGATGTTAATGTGTTGTAATTCCAACATAATGCACCAACTCTTAATTTATGATTTTTGTATTTTCTTATTTTTACTCCTCTTTCAATTTCCCATATTTCTACAACACCATTTGATAACCCAACAGCCAAATAATTGCCAAAAATATTCCATTTTAAAGATGTTATTGATTTTCTTGTTTCAATTTTTTTTTTTTCATTTTTTTTTTTTTTTTGTATTTGATTTAAGACAAATAATTCTTCACTTTTACATGCATTATTATTCCATAAACATAATTTATCATCTAAGCCAACTGCTATGATATTTTTTTTGGACCAATCTAATAAATTTAAATAAAAATCATCAACTAGTTTTGGTGCACTCAAAATGAAATATGGCTCTTTAGATATTTTCCTTTTCTCTTTTTTGTAAGAATTGAGGATATATGAAGGATAAGAAAAATAAGAAGCAAAAGGATCTATAGATATATTATTTTTACTTTCCTTAATTAGGTCATTGAATGAATTTTCTAAAAATATATTTTTATATTTATTTTTATTAACATTTTCTATTATTTTATTTTTTATAAAATTGTTATTTTTATTTTTTACTTTTTTTTTTTTATCAAAGCAAGTATCTTCATTATCATAATTTTCATATTTTTTATCTTCTATATGGAATTTATTAATATTTCTTTTATTTATTTCTACTATTTTTCTTTTTAGTGTGTATTCATCAATTTTTATATTATAGATACTTTGCCTACTATATCTAGTTTTGTATATATAATTTGAATATAATTCTTTTGGGTCTATATCGAATTCATATTCATTCATTAAATTATTACTAAAAATGCTATTTCTCATTTTTTCATTCCATATGGAAAATTGTCCAAAATTATTATTTGGAAGATATAATTCATTTTTTTCAATTCCTTTAAATATTTTTTCCGATAAATTATTATAGTCATAACAATTTTTCAAAAAAAATTTTTCCATTTTTATTTTACTTTCATTTTCCAATGCCTATAAAAGTTTTCATACATATATTACTTATGCGTTATATTATATATATATATATATATATGTATTTTCATTACTTAAACTTATAAGAAAATATTTGTCTTATAAGAAAGTCTTATTTAAATCTTTTTACATCCTTAAAAAAACATATATTTATATGCTTTAAGAAAAAATTTTTACACTCATAAAAAAATTTTCATTAAGAGTTGTTTAAATAATCATTATTTATTAAAAGAAAACTTTTCAAAATAGCAAAAAATTATAAAAATCTAAACTTAAAAAAAATTACGTGCATTCCTTTAAATTCGTATTGCCTTTTTTTAAAGAATAATGTATTTTTTTTTTTTTTTTTTTTTTTTAGGTGCGAAGAAAAGTAATAAGAAAAAATTTTAATAAAATATAAAATGAATTTTTCTCACAATTTTATTGAAAAATAACTTTTGAAAAAGATAATGAATAGTGGCTAATTTAATTTTAACAATGTATTATTGTTTCCACTTGTTAAAAAAAAAATTATTTTTTTTTTCTATATCTACTTCTATTTTTTTCTACATTTATAAAAATTCTGAAATACTTATATTTTTTTTAGAACTTTTTTTTATGTTTAATATAAGGTCTTATTAATGATTTAATCTTTTTAATTTATATGTGTGTTTTTAGATTATATATTCTCTATTATGTGATGTCTTATGGTTATAGTGAATAATTTAATGATCTTTTATTGTTTTAAAAGAATTTACAATTAATCTTAAAAAAATATGTTCATTTTAGTTTTATGTAAACTTTTATAAAAAAACAAAGTATAAAGTAGTATTATTACAAAAATGTCAAAAAAAAAAAAAAAAAAAAATAATAATAAAATAAAATTTAAAAATAAAATTTAAAATGAAACAATAACAAAAAAGAAAATATAAAAAAAAATATATATTAGGCAAAAAAAAAAAAAAAAGACTTAAAAATATTCTATAATATTCATTTAGCGACAAAATTTTCCAAATAAAAAATAAACAAATGTTAATTCATTTGTAATATTTACTCGAACATTTAGATTTTAACCACTAATAAAATATGTTAAATATATTATTAAAATTTAATTGATAAAAATATATATTATTTTAATAAAATATGATTATATAAAATGATGAGATGTAAATATATATATCTTTTTAATATGCCCAAATTAAAAACATTTAAAAAATTATAAGGAAAAAAAAAAAAAATTATATAAAATTTTTATTTTAAATATATCAAGTATGTAAAAAGTTTTAAAAATTCAAAATTATATAATATATACCTTCAGTTTATTTAATACACTTTTTTTTTTTTTTTTTTTATTTTTTGTTTAATTAATTTTCCATAATATATTTATCTGTTCTTTCTATTATCACAACTTCTTATTAATAAATCAGTTGAAGCAACACAAATAGAAGCCAAGGAAGTTATTATTAATCCTATACCACTACATAATGCTTCAGTTAAACTACAAAATATATTCTTCTCTTGTGGAATTTCGTATAAAACATATCCCGGATAATAAGGTCGGTATATTGTATCATATGAATAATATTGTGATGAGTACATTGTGATTAACTTGAAGAAAATGAAACAAATAAATAAAAAATCAAATATATATATTTATATAGGTAACAAATTCATATAATTTATTATATTTTTATCTGTTTACAATAATAAAGTCAGTGTATAAATCAAATTTATTAGATTTGTTCTTAAAAAATATACAAACTTTTTAAACATACAGAAAGAAAAAATAAAAAAAAATTTAATTTAGAGGTTACATTGAAAAGTTAAAAAGAAAAATATTTTTTTTATGAACAAATTCTCGAAAACTACAGAAAAAAAAAAAAAAAAAAAATAGGAAGCTATTTTTTTGCATTTTAATGTCTAGTCAGTTCAGAAAAAATACACACTTTTTTTTTTGGTGCATGTACATTATTTTTTTTTTTTTTTTTTACAAGTTGGCTGTAAAGGAAATTTAAATATAAAATATTAAAAGTTCTTGTTATAAAAATAAAAATTAAGAATTAAACCTGCAAAAAAAAAAAAAAAATGGAATTTACTGTATTAAAGAAAATATATATAGATAGATTAATGTTGACTAATGTATAACTCTTAAAAAGATGTTCAAATATAAGATAAAACATGCAACTATGAGAATTACAACTTGTTTTTATTTTTTTTTTAAATAGGAAATGTTTTCTTAAATTACGAGATCTTATTAAAATGTTATATAAAAGTTTAAAAAAAAAAAAAAAGAGCATAATGTATAAGGAAAAAGAGTTACAAATTTTACGAATTTTATTTTTTTCATTTTTTTTATTTAAAGAAAAATTCAAAATATTTTTTTGGACAATTATTTGGATATATTAATAATGGATAAAAAATTACATACTTTTTAAGAAAAACTTCAATAAATTAAAATACTATTACCAAAAGTAATATAATGAAATAATCATAATTTTTTCCATATATTAAAAATTTAATAAACAATTAAAATAAATACGAAAAAGTAAAGAACACACAAAAATGTAAGGGTAATAAATTAGGTTCTTGCATTAATAAAAATTCAATTAAAAATAAAGCTAAAAAAAAAAAAAAAAAAAAGTTTAATTATCATTTATGCAAAAAAATTATAAAGCAAAAATTAAAAAGTATATGCATAAAACAATTTTTAAAATATAAATGTAAATGAATATATAATTTAAAAAAAATATTAAATAAACTCATAAATCAACAATACATTATGTATAAAGAAAAATACAAATTTACACTAATTTTATACATAAATTCTTGTTATGTGTACTTTTTTCTTTTCTTTGTGTAAAGTATTATATTCTCTTTTTTTATTTAAAAATTTTATTTTATCTTAGGGATAATTATTCATATCCTTCTAAATAATCAGAGATAAAATTTTATTTGAAGTGTTCTATCTCAGCAAGAGAACACATAATTTGAAATAAATTCTTGTTTAGATATTATTTGAAGCAATTTTTATATGTTAGATATATTATTATTATCTCTTTTAAGATTCTATTAAAATATATTTGTGCAATGCTTATTGATTTATATGAATTTGATTTTTTTTTAATTGATATAAACAAAATAATATTTTTTTTTTATCTACAATATGTTTTTTGTAAATATATATTTTTGTAAATTTCAATTACTTTAAAAATGTTATAGTTTTTATATGTTTTTTTAACCTTAACATTTAAAATAAAACTAAAAAAAAATTGTACATAACTTTTTTTCTTTGGTCTGAAACTTTTCTATATATTTTCCTTCTGTTATTCTTTGTTTATCATTGAGCATTAGTTTATTACTTTTTATAACAATTTTATGTGTCGCTTTGCTAAATCGTTGTGTCTTATTTTTTATAATATTTGTTTTATTATTTTCGTATACTAAATTTATCTATACTGAAAAAATTGTATTCTTTGGATTATTTCCTTTTTACAGATACTTCTACATCATTGAAATATTTTAATCCGTTAATTCATATAATTATAAATTATTTTTTTATTATTTTTTTTTTTTTTTATGTATTTTTAGTTATATTTTTTTAGAATATTATATTTTATCATGAATCATATTGGGTTTTAGTTACTCAAAATTGTTTTCTTTTGTCAAAGGAAGAACATTTTTTCCTTTTGATATTAATCCATTTTTGGAATTTTTCAGACAACTTAAAATTTTTTTAGTATTAGGGATATTTTTTTCATTCATTGACATAGCAAAATTTTTTCCCTCAATTTTAGGTAAAAATATGTTATTTTTTGAAAAATTATTTATATCATTATTTTCTTTTAGTAAAGTTTTTTTTGATGCATCATTGAATACCTTTTGAGGAAAATTTAATAATTTTTTTTCAATTGTACCTTTTAGTGTATTATTTGAATTATATTTAGATAAATTTCCTAAAGTAGAATTCATAAATGTTCCATTTGTTAGGGAACCACTTTTTACATTTTCATTTTGCTCTTCTAACAAAAGTTTCGATTGTGTATTACCTTCTGTACTCTCATGCGTATCCATACGATTAGAACTGATTAATTTTAAAGATTTTACCTTATAATAATTTTTTTCTTTTTCATTATTAACATTAAAATTTTTAGAATTAGTGCAATCTTTATTCTCATCTTCATTGATATTTAATTTATCTTCTAATATATTATCATTTTCATTGTTTTCTCTTTTTATAGATTTTTTACTAGGAAATTGTTTTAAAGTTGATAAATTTTTTATGTTATGAAATTTTTTTATAAAAGAAATATTTTTTATATTTGATTTTTTTTCATTATCATTAATAATGCACATTTTAGGTTTCAAAAGAACTTTCGTTGATTTAATTTTAATAATTGGATTAATATTTTTTATATCCTCTTTTTCTTTATCTCCTATATTTTCCCTTATTTTTTTTTCATTATCTTCTTCCATTTCTTTTATTTTATCCTCTCTATTTTCTTCTTTTATAGTTTCTTCTTTGTTTTCTTCTTTTTTTATTTCTTTTACAGTTTCTTCTTTACTTTTTTCTTCCTTTATTTCTTCTTTTACAGTTTCTTCTTTACTTTTTTCTTCCTTTATTTCGTCTTTTACAGTTTCTTCTTTACTTTGTTCTTCTTTTATTTCTTTTTTTATAATTTCATTTTTATTTTCTTCTTCTTTTATTTCTTCTTTTATAGTTTCCTTATTTTCTTCTTTAATTTCTCCTTTTATAGTTTCTTCTTTACTTTTTTCTTCCTTTATTTCTTCTTTTGTAGTTTCTTCTTTATTTTCTTCTTCTTTTACAGTTTCTTCTTTACTTATTTCTTCTTTTATAGTTTCTTCTTTATTTTCTTCTTCTATTATTTTTTTCTCTTCATTTTCTTTTATATCTTCTTTTTTTGTTTCTTCTGTAGTTTCTTCTTTTATTTTTTCTTCTATATTTTCTTTTATCTCTTCTTTTTTTGTTTTTTCTACAGTTTCTTCTTTTATTCTTTTTTCTTTATTTTCTTCTTTTATTTCTTCTGTGGTTTCTTCTTTGCCTTTTTTCTTGTCTTGTTCTCTCTCATTCTCATTATTTTCTCGTCCTTTTATATTTTCTTCATAATTGTTGTTGTTTTTTATATAAAAAGACTTTTTATGTGGTAAAAAATTTGAACATAATTTCATTTGGTTATTTTTAATGTTAGATTCTTTATCTTTCAACAAAATTTTATTTGATCCTTTTTCTATAATTGGTTTGTCAATTTCTCTATGTTCTTTTTCTTCTTTTTTTTCTTCTTTTTCTTCATTGTTATGATTTCCTTTCACAAGTACAAATTGTTTACCAGGGTGATTCGTTATGGACATAGAAGTTTTTATGTTCCTTTTTTCATTGTAGTTTTTAATATTTAACCCCTTAAATTGTGTTACTGTTTTATTTAACTGCACATCTTTCTCCTCATATTTTTCTTTAAAACTATCTTCTTCGTTTTTATTTTCCTCTTTTTCATTTTCATTAACATCTTTATTAGTTAACTTAATGGAACACTTATTTGATAAGTTTTTGAAGCCTAATAATTTGTTTTGAGTTTTAGAATTACTTTTCTCATATTTTACTCCTAGAGAACTTAATATTTTATTTGTATCAAACAAATTAGACTTTTCTAGTTTTATTTTGGATGCAAAACTATGTAATTTCATAGTAGATATATCTTGTAATTTTTTGGATTCTAATTTTTGTTTATTAATATCATTCATTTCATTAATTATAGTAGGTGATGAAAGGTTATCAGTTACGTTAAATGTTTTTTTCATACTTTCAGGTTTTGTATTCATCTCTTTTTCTAGCATGTTTGTTTCAGGATTGTGCTTCGATTCAACAGATAAATTATCGATTGTGTTTTTAGAAAATGCCTGTAATACAAATTCTCTTGAGTTCCTTGAGTCTAAGGTAGAATCTAAATCATTTTTGTTTTCCTTTGATAAGTTTTTTATTTTTTCCATTTCTATTGTTTTTATTACACTTTTTTTATTTAGATTATTTTCCAATTCTTCAATACATTCTATAGTTTTATTATTTTTTATATTTACAGTTGACTTCATAGTAGATATATTTTTTGAAAATAATTTCAACGTTTCTTTTTGATCTACATTTACTAATGAACTTTTAGAGTATCCATTTTTGTTTATGAAAAGTGATTTATTATTCATTTGATTTGTTTTTACTCCGATTTCTTGATTATTTAGTTCACATTTATTTGATTTATCTTCATTTATATATCCCTTATGTTCCTCTAAATTATTTCTACATTCCTCTTTGGAATTTATCGTTTCTTTTTCTGTTTTTTCCAAACTCTTATTTGATAATGCACTATTTAAAGGTATTTTTTTATCAATGTTTCTTTTTATTTCTAATTCAGATGAATTCATTTTATTTAAGAGGACACCACTCATTTTCTCAAGTTGTATATTGTTTTTATTTAAAACATTTTTAAATAATTTATTAAATTTGACTTCATTATTCGTTTTTAATTTTTCTATTGACGATTTATTTTCATCAAATAAATCTGGTTTTGTGTTACCATTGTATTTGTGTACATTAATTTCCTTTTTTATGGAAAATTTATTTTGTTTTAATAAAATGTTCTTATTGGAATAAACTAATTTTTTTTCTTTCTGTAAACTGTCATCAGGATATATCTTATTGCTATCCTTTTCTAATTTTTCTAAAGTTGATATTTCTTTTTCTAAATCCTCTTTTTCTAAATTTCTGTTTTTGTGTGCATTACTATATGTATTTGTGTTAGTCACATGAATATCTTCCTTGTTAGTTTTATTGTCAAGCATGTTTAAACATTGCTTTGTTTTATTTTCTGTATTATTATATTCTTTCATATCTTGCAATTTTTTATATTGATTCTTAATTACATTTTTTTCAAAAGGTGTGCTAAGTAATTTAGTTTCTGTTATTGCTTTGCTCTTATTGATAAATGGATCATTTTTTTCTTTTTTGGTTATTTCATTTTTTGTGCAATCAACATTATTTAATTTGTTGGGAGGTATATTCTCTGATTTCTTTTCTAAGAACATATTTTTGTTAATTATCTTTTCATTCGTTACTAAAGAGAATTTTGGATTTTGAAAATTATTTATGGGAGATTTATCTATTTTTTCCTTATTTAATAGCTCTTCCTTTAGAGTAATTTTAATATTTTCATTATTTAGATATACGTTTTTTTTTACATTTATTTGTTCCATTTCTATATTTTTTTTTAAGGAATTTTCCTTAGTTTCATTATTTGTATTGAAATTTGTAACTGTTTCTATATTATTTCTAACAAAATTATTTGATAAAGCATCATTTTCTCCTATATTTTCACCCTTTAAGTCTTGGGATTCTTTCTTTTGATTTATAAAACTATCATTATTCTTTTTATCTTTAGAATTATCATGATGGATTCCCTGAACATTATTTGTATCTCTCTTTGAAGAATATATACTCTTTATATCATTATTTGTAGACAAAAAATTAGTTTTAGATATTAAAAATTGATTCCCTACATTATGATTTTTGCTGTGAATTTTATCATTTACTATTCTTTTACTTATAGAGCTTATTTCTCCTTTGCCTTTCAACACATTTGTTGATTTCTCATAACTAATTTTAGAGTTTTCATCACTTAAAACAGAAAAACATTCTTTTTCATTTTTTTCAATAGTAGGGGATATTATAACACCTGTTTCTTTTTTAACAATATTATTTTCTGATACATTATTTTTTTTTTGACTTAATAGTAAATGTAATTCATTGGATGATAAATCTTGATTTTGGTTGATATTTTTCATTTTGTCATTAATAGTTTTTTTAGAATTAGTTTTTAAAATATTTGTAAATTCATATTTTTTAGAATAATCTAAAGAAGGATCTTTTGAAATCTCATTTATGGATTTTTTTACATTTATATTTACTGTATTTAAATTTATTATATGTTCTTTATTAATATTTTGAGTATATTTTTGAGTAAGTTTCTCATTTTTATTAAAATGATATGATAATATACTTATTAAATTAGTTTTTTTCATTAATTTATTTGTTTTATAACTTTTTTTATTTAACTTCTTATTAGTAACGTTTTTTTTTTTTATTATCTTACTTTTTTCATTTATATTTTTTATACAATTTTTAAATAAAAAGTTCGAAATATTTTTTATATTTGGTAAATTTGGAATATATATATAAGAAGACACGTTTTTATTTTGTTCTTTTCTAATAAAATTTTCTTTTGGTTTTACTGATTTTTTCTCATGTTTATCCCTTGAAAACTTTTCATTAGAGTTACATATTATAATGCTCCTATGCTTTTTTCTTTGACTACTTTTATTTGTATCATTTATGTTCTTATAATCACATTTTTCAAGTTCAGGGAACAAATAAGAATATTTATTATATCTTTTGGATTTTTTTTTTTCTGTTTTTATAAAATTTTCTACATCATTAATATTGCTTGTACTGAAGTTAGTCTCATCATATATATTACTCTTATCATTACCAATAGCGTGATATTCTGTACTATCATGAATATAGCTTTTATTAATGTTTTTCCTAATTTTTTTTTTTTTCTTAATTTTATTTTTGGAATTTTTTTGTAGATTATCATTACTTTTAATAAAATAATTTTTATAAAATAATGGTTGTTGAATATATAACTCGTCACTACATTCTTTTTGTCTTTTTTTTAATAAAAAATTTGTTTTCTTAAAATCATTATCAAGTGGTACATGTTTATCATTTGTTTTAATGCACTTTAATAGGCTATTATAGAATAGTTTATCCTTTTCAATATCTAGACCTGTATTTAGAAGGATCTTTTTATTCTTCAAGGATTTTTTTTTTTTTATATTGTTTTCAATATCTTTTGCATTTTTTATTTTTATGTTATCGTTTCTAGATAACTTATTTTCCATATTTCCTGGAATAAGTAATTTTTTATTTAATTTTTTTTTGCTATCATATAGCTTTTGTAATTCATCAAGTGAAGAGTTAATAGATTTTTTCCTTTTCTCGTACTCATACATTTCGGATTTTTTTTTCTTTTTTTTTTCAATAATTTTTTTTTTTATTTCAAGAGGGTAGTTGTCTTCATATAGTTTATAATTCTTTTCCTCAATCATATTCTTATTTCCTATTTTATGTTTTGATATACTATCATAATTTTTATGTACATTTTTTATATTTTGTGGTTCTTTTTTATACTCACTGATATCTTCTTTAAATAAATCATAACTATTCTTATGTTTAATTTTTCTAATTTTTCCGTAGAATTTTATATTTTTAATCTTTTTCATATAATCTATAATATCATCTATATGTTCATCGTTATCATTTATATCTTCTTGCACATATTTATTTAATGATTCCTCTTTATGTTTTTTCATTGTTTCATTTTTATTTTGAGATAAACGTTTTATATTTCCTTTGATTTTTATGATAATTTTCTTTTCTCTTTTTATTTCTTTAAACATTTTATTTTCATTTTTCATAATATCTTTTATACTTTTCATTAAAGTTATATTATCCTTTAGATTTTCTTTTTTAGATATAATTTTTTCCTCAAGTTCTTCATTATTTAAGCTTAAAACTGTAACTAAATCATAAAATTCTTTATTTTTTCTTTTTATTAATCCTTTAATTTTTAATATATTCATTTTTGAAGTAAGCTTATCAAAATTATCATTTTCCAAATTGTTACACCTTTGAAACATTTTCATATAATGCTCATCTAATATATTAATATTCTCTTTTTTATTAATTAGGATATAGCTCTTTTCTATTTTTGTATCATAATATTTTTTTTTGTATTTATTGTTTTCTCTTTTTATTTTATCATTATTTTGAATACAAACATGTTTGTCACTACAACATGTGGGTTTTTTCTCATGTGGATATTTTTCCTAGAAAAATATATGCTCATATCATAAAAGTAAAAAATTAATTTTTTAATTAAAAGAAAAAATTTTTACAGATAATAATTTAAATTTTTTTTTTTTTTTTGTATATTTGAATTATTTCTAAAAATAAAATTAAAAAATATGAGATAAAATGAGAAAATACTTATTTTACTAGAAGATAATAAATTAATTCAAAAAAAGTATAGTTTCATTATAAAATTAATGAAAAGAAATAAATATAAAACTTTGAAATATTAAATTATGTATTTTATTATGATTTGTACTTTTCTAAAGAAAGTGTGGATTCAGACGTTGCCTCTTTAAATTTCTGATTAGTTAAATATGCTAGGCTCTATAAAAAGAATTAAAAGAAAAAATTAACTATCTAAACTCACATAAATGAATATTCTTTCTTTTTTTTTTATTTGGAAAAGTTTCTTTAATAAAAAACAAATTGATTAAATTATAAAAAATTGTTAAATATGAATTACAGTTTCTTATATAAAAAATAAAAATATATGCAATTTGATAAATTAAATAAGATAAATAACAAAAAAAAGAAAAATATATTTAAATAGCTGTTATATAAAGTTATATAAAAAAAAATAAAGGCGAAAAAGTCATTTAAAAAGTTTCAAGGTATTTTCCTGTTTTTTTTTTTATATATAAAAAAATGCACACACCAAAAAAAAAAAAAAAAAAAATTAAGAAATAAATTTATATGATATTACTTAAAAGCCGAAATGAATTTATGACTACTAAAATCATATATATAAAAAAAAAAAAAAAATTTCATGTGCATTAATAATTCTTTTACAACAGATCAAAATAGTTGTAAGAACATAAATAAAAAAAAAAAAAAAATTTTAAAATTATGACTTAGTCATATATAATGAAGAATAAAGAATAATATATAAGAAGAATTTGTTTACATATTCTTCATATTCATGTTATTACCTTTCTAAGAAAATTTCTTGAAAAAATGAACTCTAGCTGTTTTTGTTTTGACATTCGTTCAGGCATATTTTAACTTAGGATTAATGAATAACTTTAAAATATAATTACGTAAATATAATCTTAAAATTTTAATTTTGTAAATTTAAATTTACTTTAAAAGGAAAAAAAAAAAATAATTTTTAAAAATTAAACGAGAAAATTCATATAATATTAAAAAAAAATTTTATTTAAAAGTAAGGAAAAAAAAAAAATGTATATATAACTAAGGAAAATAAGTAGAGATTAACATAAATTTATATGAATGTTTTCTTATTATATATCACTAAAATAAAACTTGTAAATGATTTATAATCAAATAATCCATTAAGTTTTTTAAGGTTGTCATTTATTAAACTGAGTGTTTATATAAAATTTACACATAATTAATTTACATTTATTGAAAAGAGATAAAAGAAACATAAACAATTCATATATTTTAATAATTTTAAACTTGTAATTAAAAAAAAATATATATATAATATATAAAAAAAGTATTTATATATTATTAAACCTTTTTATTTATTTATTTATTTTTTTTTTTTTTAAAACCTTAATAATTATATTTGATTCCACAAAGTAGATTGAATCTGAATCACTTATTTCGAATAGCAAAAAAAATTAACTTAGAAGTTTAAAAAAAAAAAAAAATTTTCAAGTCAAATTTTGAAAAAAAAGTACAAAATTAAGATGTCAAATAAAATATATATAAACAATAAGTTATATCTTAAAGATTTCTTTAAGGTAAAAAAAAAAAAAAAAAAAAAAAAAGNNAAAAAAAAAAAAAAAAAAAAAAAAAGTGAACGTAATGGGGGAATTCCCTTTTAATGAATATAATTATAAACGTAAATAAAAATTTCCATTTACAATAAATTTTATAAAAAGGAAATTTTTTGTTTTAATCAACTTTTAGGATTTTAAAAGTATCCAAAAAAACCTTATATATAGTTATAATTATATTTCACACATTTAAATTTAATGAACATGTATTTGAACATCTATTTTTAATTCGCATACTTCTACAAAATAATGATAGTAATATTATATATTTCTAGTATTTTTATATATATATATATATTAACAATAGGTATTTTTCTTTTTTAACTAAAGTAAAAATAACAGTAATGATATTTAAGTAAAATAATAGAAGCAACTACAAGTAATTCTTCTATAATTTTGTAAAGCTCAAACGCTTAATAAAAATATTTTTCCTACTTTTTAATAATTAAATTGCTATTTCTTTTTCTCATTTATCACTTTAAAAAAAATATATTCTTTAAATTAAAAAATTTTTATATTTTATCAATAATAAAATATTTTTATTTAAAGATTTAAAGAATATAGCAAAATTTTATTTGGAGAAAAAAGAAAAATATTATATGAAAACATTAAATAAGAATTAATAAAATTCTTATATGAATAAAAACAAAAAATAAATATATAAATATAAATATATATAAATATAAATATATATATATATAAATATATATATATATATATAATTATTATAAAATAACGTTCTTTTCCCTTTTTAAAAAGGAAAATTTTCATGTGAACAATTTTAATTATATTATCCTATTCATAATAATAAAAAGGTTTTTCATGTAAATTTAAATTTTTTATTTATTATATGTATATATTTTTTAAATACAGAAAAAAAAAAAATAATAAAAATAATAAAAAGAAAATATGCTATATAGAACACCCCTCAATTCCCCATATTTTAAGCAAAAGATGAAATAAATTTATATATTATTTATATGTATTATATAGCATGTTAATAATATTTTTTTAAATTGTTTATTGCAAAATTTAAGAATATTTTTTTTATAATAATGTTTTAATAATCAGATTGAAAAATTAATTAAAAAAAAAAAAAAATTGAATTTTTCTTTTATTTCATTTATATATCTACATATATGTATATGTTAACTTTTAATTTTTTTTTATTCGTTTTTTTTTTTTTTTATTTTCTCTAATACATAATTAATAATTCCATTTCTTTCACATGAAGTAAATTTAAAAAGATTAAAATTTATTATTTTTGTACATTAAATTTTAGTATAATTAAATATATTAGATGAATCAACTTTAACAAAAATATATGCTTATAGATAAATAATTTTCAGTAATTTTGAAGTTTCTGCCATATTTAAATTCCACGTAAAATATAAGTTTTGTATAAGAAATTAATAAAACAGACATAAATTGGAATAATTTAGTTATAAAAAATAAATACAAAATGAGTAACAAAAAGACCTTATCCTCAAAAGAAGAAAGCATTGCAAAAATGCTTATATGTAAGGTAAAATTTTTTTTACATAAAAAAAAAAATTGAGGCAAAATATAATATTATTATTCCATAGTTTATTAAAAATTTGAAAAATATATTGAGTCAAACGTAAATATATATTTGTATATTTATTAAAAAAAAGAAAAAAATATATACATGAAATAAAATAAAAACATATAGTATAAAATGAAACAAAATGGAAAAATAAATATTTTTAAAAAAAAAAAGGAAATAAAAAGAAAAAAAAATTATAAGAAATAATACAAAATGAAGAAAAATAAATTAAATATTTTTTTTTTTTTTTAATAACATTTTAATGTTTGAATTATCTAGTTAAGATTTTTTAATAGATTTTGTATATATATTTACATATATTTATATATTTTCTTAATGTTAGGTTCATATTGGAACAAAAAATTTAGAGAACAAAATGAAAAGATATGTATATACTAGAGCAAAGGATGGTGTACATATAATTAATTTAGCAAAAACTTATGAAAAGTTACAATTGGCTGCAAGAATAATAGTAGCTATAAGTAATCCAGCTGATGTAGTAGTAGTATCAGCTAGACCTTTTGGAAGTAGAGCTGTTTTAAAATTTGCACAATATACAGGTGCTCAAGCAATAGCTGGAAGATGGACTCCAGGTATGTTAACAAATCAAATTATTCAAAAATTTACAGAACCAAGATTATTAATAGTTACCGATCCAAGAACTGATGCTCAACCAGTTAAGGAATCTTCTTATGCAAATATTCCTGTAATTGCATTATGTGATTCTGATTCCCCATTGGAGCATGTAGACATAGCTATTCCATGTAATAACAAAGGAAAAGAATCTATTGCACTTATGTATTGGTTATTGGCACAAGAAGTTTTATATCTTAAAGGAACTTTAAAAAGATCTGAACCATGGAATGTTATGGTTGATATGTTTTTATGGAGAGATCCTGAACAATTTGAACTAAAAAATTTAGCAAATGAAGAAAATGCTGCTACTGCTCCTCATCTTGTAGAAAATCAATTTGCTACTGAAGCACCTTATGAAGAATGGAATAAAAAAGAAGAATGGAATGATAATACAAATGAAGATTGGAAAAATCCAATTACTGCTGATGAGTGGTAGAAGAAAAGAAGTTTACACTCATATACGTATTTATACACATATATAAGAAAAAAATACTAATTTTACAACATATATAGATATATATGTTACATAGAAATGATAAAATAACATTTTTGAATATTACAATATATACACATTAAATTAAAATATGAAAATTATATTTAAAATTAGGCAGAATTAGGAATTTAAAATAATAGTAATTTTTGTAAAATTGTTATTTAAAAAAAAAAAAAAAAAAACTACAAAAAATAAATAAGAAAAAAAAGTTAAAATAAGCAATTATAAAAAAAAAAAAAAAAAAATATAATGATCTATTCGATTTATGAATTTTTTTTTTTTTTTTTTTTTTTTTTAATATTTTTAAATTAATATGCTTTGTATTTTATATCGGTTTACTAGGATTTTATCATTATATATTAATTTTTTTTTTTTTTTTAAATTAACTATATCCAATTGAAATTCATATATATAAATATATATATATATAAATATTTATTTATATAAGAAAAAAAAGCAACTATTTTAATTTGCTTTAAAATAATAATTTTTATGTAAATGAATAAAAAAATTTTGTGAAAAGATTGTTTGGATTCATTTATCCATTTATTTTATGAAACATTAGTATAAAATAATACATTTAAAATGAAAAAAGGAAAATTACAATATATTCAATTAGGAAATAATTTAAATTAACATCTTCAAGGATTTTATAGTTATAAAACTAGTTAAGATAAATTAATGGTATACATTTTTTTTTTTATTTCACTTGGAATATGTATTTTAATTACATCTTCAAAAAAGTGTAAGTATATATAATTTTTTATTCCATTAGTTTTTTGTTAATTAAAAAAAAAGTAAAATATCTCATTTTTTGTTTTTTTTTTTTTTTTTGTTTCTGGCTTTTTTTTTTTTATTAAAAATTAAAATTATTCCTTTTAGTATTTAATAGATTAATTTCGTTTTAAACAAAAACTCTACCTTTTTTCTACATTTTGCATGTATTAATACAAAAATAAATATACATTTTAAAGAAACGATATGTGATGAAAGAATTAATACTATTCTTATATAAATTATTCATTCTAGTTTCTGTTTTTTTTTTTTTAAATTCTAAGTAAAGATTTCTATATGAAAAATATAATTGTCAATTCCTTTTTTTTTTTTTTTTCTATAAGAATACAGTTTATTAAATATTTTTTTTTTTTTTTTTTTAAAGGCATATATTCTGAAAATGCAAGAAAAAATACTATTTGAAAAGTTTTATTCTGAAATCAATGCATTGAGATTTCATTTTGATGTATTAGATTCAACACAATTATACTGTAAAAGAAATATGCAATTATTTATTGAAACTGGCAAATTGAAGGACGACAATATGATTATTGTTAGTTGTAATTCTCAAACAAATGGAATAGGAACAAGAGACACAAAAAAGAATATTAATAGATTTTGGCTATCTAAAGAAGGAAATATATTTGCAACCTTTGTTTTCTTATGGGATAAAAGAGATATAAATAAAGTGAGTTGTTTAGCACAAACATCTACTGTAGCTATTAGTAAAACTTTAGAATATTTTCATTTAATAACTCAAATTAAATGGATAAATGATGTTTTAATTAATAATAAAAAAATTTCAGGTTGTCTTGTTAACTTATATCATTTTGATGATGATATATTATCAAAAAATTATGTTTGTATTATGGTTGGTATAGGTATTAATGTAGACTTGCGAGATGATAAAAATTTATTAAGTAATAATTATACATCAATTAAAAAAGAATTAGAACAGGATTTCGATGTTCCCAGCTTGATCCCTTCTGTAGAAGATGTAATGCAAAAATTAATAGAGAATTTTCATGCATCTATTAAAAAGTTACGTAATGAAGGATTTTCTGCATTTTTAGATTATATAAAAATTCGACTTTTATATTATGAAAAAAAAATTTTAATAGATCAAGATAATAGACAAATAACTGGATACTTAAAAGGATTACTTGATGATGGTTCCATCTTATTATTAAATGAAAATAATCAAATTATTAATATAAATAATGGTCATTTGTATCTTAATGAAGGTAACTAAATAGTTAACCTCGTGCATAATATTCCTCTATTTACATATGAATATACTAATAATATTTGCATTATCAAAAATTAAAAATATGAAAAATTGTAATTCATTTCTAAAAAAAAAAAAAAAAAAATAATCTAAATATCTTTGTATTATCTTATATTTAAAAATATAAAGGAAAACTCTATGAAATTTTAATTAGGTAAACTGGACGCGAATTAATAAAATACACAAATGAATATATGAAAAATACGGAGTGTAATTTTTATAAAATGTTTAATATAGCAAAAATATAAAAAGAGCAAAAAATAACTTATTACTTCAATTGGTTAAAAAATACAAAAAATATACTGTGATCAATTTTACATAAAATTTTATAATTAAAATATTTTTGTATAAGAATATTTTAAAACTTAAATTTTTTTTGCAATTATAGAAAGAAAAAAAGGAAAAAAAAAAAATAAAAACTTACAAATAAAAATATCACCTTTTAAACAAATTAAATAAAAATATGTATGTAATAAATATTTTTTAAATATATAATAATGTATTGTATAATTCTAATATTTTTTTTTTTTTTAAATGTTCTGAAATTTATATTAGAAATTAGTTTTTTATAAAAAAAAAATTAAAAAATAGTAAATATATGCTAAAATTATATATAACATATTATTTAATAGAATTATAAAAGTATGTTATTTACATTATTATATATTATTAATTTTTTCTTTTTATAGAAACGTTTAATTATTAAATCATTATAATATCGTATTTATAAAAAGAATTTATTTTAATTTTTCAAAAATGTGTCAAACTATTAAATTTTATGTAAAATGTGTAAATTTAAAAAAACAAAAAATTTTACTTTTTTTTTATGATAATATTTATGTAAATATAAGTGTCATTAAGATTAATATTCTTAATGATTATCATTAAAATTTTGGATAAATTATGATTTTACTTTTTATATCACTAAACTCTTTATATATGACGTCAAAAAAAATATTTAATGAATAGATGTTAATTCCTTAATCGATTCAGATTTTTTTTTATTTTATTTTTTTTTTTTTTTTTTATTTTTTTTTTTTTTTTTTTTTTTTTTTTTTTATTTTTTTTTTTTTTTTTTTATTTTTTTTGTAAATTTATATATTTTATTATCAATTTATTTTTTTTTATTTCATTTTTACTAATATTTTTTTCCTCCTGACGTTTTAAATAATTACTTAAATTCTTCATATTTTTATATTATTATATTATGGGAAGATACTATATCTAGAAAAAAAAGTTATTGTTACAATTATGTAAATTCTACATATTTATTTTTTTTTATAATAATAATTATTATTACTATTACTATTACTATTATAATTGTTTGTAATAGTAATATTATTGTCTTTTTTCTTATTACTATTAGAATTATTATTATTATTACTATTACTATTACTGTTGCTATTACAATTACTATTACTGTTACTATTACTACTGCCGCTACTACTACTATAACTACTGTTATTATTAGTAGTAGTGATAATATTTGTATTATTATCATTACTATTATTATTAATCGTAGCAGAACCGTAATCGATATTATTATTTTGTAACATAAAATATAACTCACTTTTCCTAAACTTATTGGAAATAATGTTATTTTTTTTCATCATAAAAAATTTATTTATATTATTTAATTTATTATTTTTGGTGTCAAAAGAATTAACAATATTATTATTTTGATTTTTTATGTATATAAGTTTGTTCTTATTTAAGTTTTCAAATGTAATTTGATCATTTAATTTTTTATTCTTCTTATCCATATCTTCATCATTTTTAAAAATTATATGATCAAAACTATTGCATTTATAATTATTACTTTCCTGCATAAAGTTATTTATTCCTTTTAGTTTATAATTATATGCAAAATTTGATTTATTATTATTAAGTATATTTTCAAATGATTTTTTTATGTAATCCTGTTTTTTTAATAAATTCTCCTTTTCATTTAAAATATTATCCATATCATTCTTGTTTAAAATATTTGATTCTATTTTGCTTATATCGTTTGTATTATTTTTATTTGAAACGCATGTATTACTCTTGTTTTTCAGAGAACAAATTTTCATATGGAAATCTTTATTATTAATTGAACTGCTACGAAGTCTTAATATATTAATAAAGTTTCCCTCATAATCATCATTTTTATTGTCACTTTTATTACTTCTATTAGAGATATTATCAGGATACTTATCCTTCATTTTATAGTTATTATAATATTTTTTATTAAAAACTATGGGAACATTATTTTTTTGTAACATATTTTTCATTTTATTACTGCTAATATTCCTATTAAAAATGTTTTCAAATCTATATTCATTATTTGTTTTGTTCATATAAAAATCATGAACTTTTGAATATTTATTATTACTATTATCAGGTATTTCTGAGCGTAATTTCATATATAGCAAATTATTCTTTTCATTTTTTTCCATCTGAAATAAGCAATTACTATTTTTATCATATTTAAAGTTATCTTTGGTAATATGATCAATTTTTTCATTACTATTAGTATCTCTATCGTTATTATTCTCAATATTTCTACTAAAAAAATTTAGTTCATATCTATCATTAGGGACTAATTTATTTTCTACTATATCTTTTCCTTTACTATTTACATTAACTAATTTATTATATATGTCATTCAAATTATTACTCATATCATTTAACATATTATTATTGTTACTAATTTTATTATTTATATAGGTTACTTTATAACTATTACTATCTTCTTTAGTGAATTTGTTACAATTTAAATTATTATTTTCATTTTTGATTTTAGAAATAATGCTATTTAAAAAAATATCTTTTATGCAATTTTTTTTTATTATTTTATGAATATCAACAGTAATAGATATTTTATCATTTTTCACACAATTTTTTAGGATACCCCAATTATCATAACCAAACCAAGGAAAAATTGAAAAATTATAAGAGGCATTTTTTTTTTTATATTCACCACAACTTACTGAAAATATAACGTCACAAAATCCAGTATAAGAAAATAAAATACCTATTGAATTTTCATATGAAAAATCAGAATCATTATTTATATTTAACAAAATAAAAAAATCATTTATATTTGTATCTGTTTTAAATTCAGGTGAAACCACAAAATTGCTTTCACTTGAATATAATAAGGATACTTTTTTAATATTCCATTGCATCGTTAAAATTATATTTTCATTTATATGCTCAAATGATTCTAGATCTTCTTCATTTAATATTGTTTCATTTCTTATATTTTTTTCAATTAAATCTTTTACTTCAGATGAAAAAAAAGTTTCATGATTACTAATATTGCCATTTATATTGTAATCATTACTATTAATATTATTTATGTTGATAGTTGTATTAAAATTATTATTATTATTACTACTACTATTACTTTCATTATTATTATTAGAAATAGTAGAATTAGTATTATTTTTAAAAAATATCTCAATACTACTATTAGTAGAAGTATTAGTATTAGTTATATTATTATTAGTAATATTATTGCTAATTTCATTCAAGTTTATATTGCTATTAATATAATTATTCTCATTAATAGTATTGCTATTATTATTATTAATATTATTATTATTGGGGTTATTATTAGTTCTATTAGTATTAATATTAATTTGAGTATTATTTGTATTAGTATCATTATTAGTTAAAATGGTTTCATTATTAGCTGTATTAGTATTATCATTGATTATATTATTATTATTTCTTATATTATTATTAATGTTATTACTATTAGTATTATTAATAATACTATTAGTATTATTATTAATACTATTGGTATTATTTTTACTATTTTTAGTACAATTTTTACTACTATTGGCATTATTTTTACTATTCTTAGTATTACTATTATTATTATTATAACTATTAGTATTAATTTTACTATTACTATCACTATTACTATTACTATTACTATCATTATTACTATTACTATCACTATTACTATTACTATCACTATTATTATTATTTTTATTATTACTATTACTATCACTATTACTATTATTATCACTATTACTGTTACTATCACTATTTTTATTATTTTCATTATTATTATTATCATCATCATCATCATCATTATTATTATCATCATCATCATCATTATTATTATTATTATTATTACCATCATTATTATTATTATTATTATTATTATTATTATTATTATTATTATTATTATTATTATTATTATTATTATTATCATTATTGTTATTGTTATTATTATTATCATTATTGTTATTGTTATTATTATTATCATTATTGTTATTGTTATTATTATTATAATTATTAACAGTATTATTTCTACTACTACTATTAGTGTTAGGACTATAATTATTAGTATTATTGTTAATTGTAGTAATTTTTTTGCTACTATTATTAATAGCAGTACTAGTATTTTTATCAGTTGTAATATTATCATTTCTATTATTATTATTGTTGGTTGCAGTAATAATATGAGTATTGGTATTATTAGCAATAGTAGTATTTGTAGTACTATTAATATTATTATTACTACATTTTTTAATATGATTATTTGCTATTTTATTTTTTATATTAACTGTGTTATTGTCTTCGTGTGGATTGTGTATGTTTTCAAGTGATTTTTGTTTATTACTGTATCCTGTATTACACATAAAAGATTCCTTATTTAAATGTTCTTCATTCTTGTCAGTATTCTTGAATTTGCAAAAAAATGAATCGAAGTTTTCAAATAGATTATTTTTCACATCTTTTTGCTTATTTGAATTCATTATTAAGTTATTATTATTATAGTACTTATTTTTTTCAAAATTACTTTTCAAGTATTTTAAAAGATTTGCATTAACTTCTAGTATATTTTTGTGTTTATATGTTTTTATTTTATTCCTAATATTTATGCTTTCCTTTATTTCTTCTTTAAATAAGTTGTGACTTTTTTCTATTTCTTCAACATAGCAAAAATTATTATTTGCATATTTATTAACATAACCACAGTGTGTAAATATATTATGAGAATTACTATCATATATACAATTATTATCACTATTCTTTTTTTTATATTTACTTTTATAATTGCATAGACTTACTATATTTTCTTCGTTTCTATTAGAATTTTTCTCAGTTTTTTGTAAAAAAGAAAAACTATTTTCATTTGAACTATTTTTTTTTTTCTCTTTTTTTTCTATTCTAATGCAAAAAGTATTTACATTTTTGTTGCAATCTTTATTAGAAAGTTTCATTTTATTGTTATTGAAATAACTATTATTGCTTTTATTTGAAAGTACATCGTAAATATAATCTTTTTCCTTTAATTTGAATATTTTTTCATAACAAAAAATTTCCATTTTATTATTATTAAGTAAATCCTTATCTATATTTCCATTCTTTTTTTGATTAATTGAATTTTTACTTTTACTTCTAATAAGACTAGTATTATTGATATTTAAAACATTAGAACTACTACTACTACTACTATTATTTAAATTTTTTTTATATTTATTACTATATATACTACAGTCAGAAACATTATCATTATTACTTACTCTTTTCCTATTAATATATAATATATTTTTTAAAAAATTTTCCTTATTTGTACTTTTATTTTTACATAATACGAGATTATTATAATTCACTACCTCATTTTTATGAGTTTCCATATTTTCTTCATTTTTTTCATTATATATGTTGTTATAAATTTTCTTGTTTTTTTTATGCTCCATACTATCTTCTTTTTCTTCTTTTAGTGATGAATGATATTTTTTTTTTTGTTCTGTTTCTTTTTTTTCTCTCTCTTTTTTTTTTAAATCATTCAACTTTTTCTGTAATTTTTGACCTTGCTTGTTAATGTTTTTTTTTTCATTGTCATTTAAAAAAGAAGTTTCTGTTTCTGAATATTCGCACATATAATTTTTATTTTTATAATTTAATTTATTTTGATTGTTTGATGATACAAAAAATAAATTGTCTTTATTATAAAAAGCTGAAGAAATATTATTTTTTTCATATACATCTAAATTATTACTGGATATTTCTTCTCCACAAAATAAAAAAAAATTCATGTTTTTCAATTTTTTTTTCACGTTTTTATATTTTCTTACTCTTATATAATTTTTGTTATTATTACAAGATTCATTTTTTTTGTAATTTTTTGTTTTTTCATTAATATATAATGACTCACTATTTTCACTAACATTTCTACTAAAGATATCCTTGTAATTTAATTTTTTTGTGTTTAATTTATCTTTTTTATTATTATTACTAATATAAGATAATTCTTGTTCATTATTGAAATATTCTACACCTCTTTCGCTTGTTGATATATGTTTTTTATTACTATCTTTCATTTCATTGTCATATTCATTTTCTTTTTTCTCATTAATATAATTTATCTCAACATTATTTTTTCCATTTTTTAAATTATAACAATCATAATTTAATATGTTCATGCATTCTAATTTATCATAAAATGAATAATAATTCTTTTCTTTTCTTTTTTTTGAATCTTCAACTTTCACATTAGATAAAATTTTATTTTCATTGTTACTAATAATGTCTTCATCATAATTATTATTTGTGCATGTGTATTCATTATATTTTTTGTACAAATAATTTAAGGTATCTAATGAAATACTACTATTTAAATTCGTAAATTCTTCATTTTCTTCATTAGTATCTTTTTCTTTTAATTTCATGTTTCTACTCTCTACTTCAATATCATTATTTGCAAGAATATTTATATAATTCATTAAATATAAAGATTCTTCATTGCTTATTTCATTACGATAGCATATATTATTAAGTGTTTTTTGTTCGTTTATACATGAAGAGAATTTTTTAGGTAAATTATTTGAAATATTATCCTTTAAATTATAGTATGTTTTATTTACTGTGTTTTTAGATGTATTATTATTGATGCTACTAAAATAGTTTATGTCACTTTTAACATTATGCTCATTTTTCATGCTTTTTATATTACCAATTGAGTTCTTATATGTATTTAAATTATTAAATGTGATATCATAATTTATTTCTTCCTTCATTTCATAATTTCCATTTTTGTTAATTTTTTGTTCATTCCACTTATTTATTAAAGGAGAGAAAATATTATTTTTTAAATATCTATTAATGTCATCCTTATTTTTTAAATGGTCTTCATAATTAAAAAAAGAAAAATTATTTAGCGAATCATTTATATCTTCTTGTTCATATCCTTTACTATTATTTATTTCTTTACAGAAATTATTATAAAAAGAATCATTAATTTTTGAAGAAAGGGTTTCTGATTGTTTTCTGCATCCCTCTTCATAAATATTTTCATTAGATAATTCATTTTCATCTTCATTTATTAAGTATTTATTGTTTAACTTATTCAATGAATGAAAAGTAATATCATCAATATCTAAAAGGTGCCCATGATAATTCTCATGCGTACTTAAAATATTTTCATATGCATGTGATAATTCATTTAGTTTATTTTCATCATTTTCTTCATTGAATGTTGATTTTTTATTTTTACTGTTTACATTAAATAGGTATACTTCATTTACTTCTGTTATTAATTCTGTTTTTTCTTCCTCTTTATAATAATTATAACAATCATTTTCTTGATTTTTATTATATTTCTCTATTATTTTTTGTTTTTCTTTATTTTCTATTTTATCTTCTTTCCTTAGTATATTATTTTGTTCCTTATATTCATTGTGTTGTATTTTTTCTTTTTCTTTAGTATATCTCCCATGATAGTCATCTTTTTTTTTTTCACTGAATAATATCCTTTCCTCCTTTAGAACTTTTTCTGCATCTAAAAAATCATCATGTATTAAGTTAAGCATTGAAATATTCTCATCTTTATTATGTTTTTCCTTTTTTAAATTATCACGTATTGCATTATTTATAGATTTTAAAAAAGTTAAGTTGTTCGAATTCAACTTTTTCAAAGAAATAGAATCTTTTTTTAAACACCTTTTTGGATTTTCTAATTCATCAAAATCTTTTTTTATATCTATATCAAGCATTAATAATTTGATTTGATCTTTGCTTTTTTTATTATTCATATATCCGCCATTAAGCATTTTTAAAATTATTCAAGTGCTAATATAGCACCGTAAAAAAAAAAAAAAAAAAAATTCAAACACAGAATAAATAAATTTTTAAATTTCAATATCAAATATTTTAAAAAAACTAATAATATATTATAAATAAATGAAATAAATTACTTAAAAAAAAAAAAAAAAGTAAAAAGAACAAATCTTACACATGTATATATATATATATATATTTTTAAAATATACTATATAATTTATCTTTCAAATTATATTTATTTAAAAAAAAAAAAAAATAAAAAAGGAAGAATAAAAAAAGAAATAATAATAATATAAAATTCTATTTATGTATCTCAAATAAAAACACTGTGAAGTAGAATCAACAACATCTAACCATTTTAATTTGTATATCACAAATATATGTAAGTAGATAATTCTTTTTTTTTTTTTTTTTTATTATTGTCTACACTTATATTTGATTATGATTACTTAGTAATTGATTTATTATATATTTATCTTTTTTTTTCATTTATTATTTCTTTTCTCCTTTTTTTTTTCTTGTTTTCTTTTTCTAGAGAGAAAATGAGTATATAAAATAAGAAACAAATGATGAAATAATGGATACTTCTATATATATATATATATCTTAAAAAATGCAATAAAATTCACAAATTAAATATTAATGCAAAAAAAAATAAAAAAAAAAAAAAAAAAAAGAAAATGGTAAAAAAAAATTTTAAATTGTATCTAAACTTTTTTTATCTTTTCATGTAGTTAACAAAAAAAAAAAAATTCTAGTATACTCATACAAAAATTATTTAATACATATAAAAAAAAAAAAAAAAAGCGTTTACAAATATTCTAATAAAAAATTTCCATCTTTTTTTATTTTTCTTTTTTAAGAATATAAAAAAATTTCTATAATTACATTTAATATCATTAAGAAAAAAAGAATATATATATAATAATAATATTAAATGTATTTACAATATACTTGATTATTAGTTGGTGATATTTTACAATATAAGTTTTTCTCTAATATTTAAAAAAAAAAAAAAAAATATAAAAAGATACAAGTATTTTAATGTGTAAAAATATTTATTTTATTTTAAAAAAATATTTTGTAATATTTATACCTTTTATCTTTATACATAAAAATTTAAATAAAAAAGAGAAAAAAAAAAAAAAAACAAACACTATATTAAAAACACATAAAAATTGTAATATACTATATAGAATAAACCGAAAGATGTAATAATCATATTAAAGTAAAAAAAAAAAAAAAAAAAATACTAGATAAAAAAAAATATGATAAAAAAAAAAAAATTCTAATTTAACTTTATCTTGGATCTCTTAAAGAATTTCCAATTTCTTTTTTTTTATATGTTTTTATGTATTTTTAGGTTATTATTTTTTTTCGAATATCATAGAAGTGTTAGCAAAATAAAAAAAATGAAATAAAATAAAAACATTAAATATTTGGTAAAATATATTAAAGATAAAAAAAAAAGGATAAAATGAAGTAGTTTTTTATTTCTCTATTTAATATAATGATTAATATTCTATTCATATATATATATATATTTATATATATATATATGTAAATAAATATATATGTATATATATATATATATAGATATATATATATAGTATTTAAACTGATAATTTTGAATACCAAATATTTAAAGCAAAATTGTATGCAATAATTATCACTTAAATAAATTTTTTTTTTAAATTTGACAAAACAACTTTTAACCTTCTATTTTATTTGTTTTTATGATAATACATTATTAGAGTATCTTTAAATATTTATAAAACGTTTTCTTCTTTAATATATTTTTAAAATTTAAAATAACTTTTATCTATTGTTTTATATCTTTTTATACGACACTTATACATTATTATAGATTCTTTATATAAAAAAAAAGAAAAGAAAAGAAAGAATAAAATAAAATAAGAGAATATGCTGAAATAATCATAATAAAAAAAAAAAAAAAAATATCTTTCACCTTTGTATTAAAATTTTAATTTGGGTGTTAACTGCAGAAATACTGTCTTAATATTTTATAAAAAAGTGGATGCTTACTTTTATATTAATAATTTTTAAATGTAAAATATTTTATTTCTACTAATAGTATATAGGTATATATTATCATTCTTTTTCACCTTATCTATTCTGTTTTTTTGCATCTATTTTTTTTTTTTTTTAAATGCATGTCATAATTTCTTTTCTATTTAATAAAAAATTTAAACTCAAAATCTCGTAAAACCAATGATAAAAATATTATTAAAAGTAAAAAAAAAAAAAAATATATAAAAATTTCACTTATAAAGACACATATTTTTTTAAATAATTTTAAAATACAAACATATGCAAAATATAATTTGCACCCAACAACTAAATATAAGTATTTTTTTTTTTTTTTTTTTTGCTTGCATTTTTTATAGTCTACATTGCTGATGCATATTTCGTCCATTTAAATGAAAAAGTATTTTATATTTATCGTTTAAAAAAAAATCATAAAAATACGTTAAATAAAAAAATTCACATGATAACTTACAAAAAATTATAAATAATTATAAAAGATATTTGAAAATATTTAAAAAAAAAAGATGGTTTTATATTTTTTGTAATTCTTATATTAAAATTAAAGGAAATCATACAATATTTTATATTTTAATATTTATACAATTATAATCGAAATAATAGTCTATATAATATGTTGGTTGTAAAACATTTTACACATGTATTAAAATAAATTAAATAAGATATTTTATAGGGAAAATACGTTATTAATTCTACTATTCATTTATGCGTGCATAAATGCAATATTAAAATTCATAGAAACATTGATTTTTTTTTTTTTTTTTTTTCTTTATGAGCATACATTGTTAAAAAATTTATCAATTTTATTAAAAAAAAAAAAATATTACATGCATATATATATTAAATATTACTTTTCTTAACGAATTAAAATAAAATCACAAAAAAAATAGAATAAAAAATATTTATAAAAATGGTTTTGAATCGAGTAATTCTCGATGGTTTTTTTTATTACGTGGTCGAGAAAAAATTTCAAAAATAAAAATGTTTATTATTTTAATAATTTTAAAAATTCTTGTATATTGAAAAAAATTTAGAAGAAAACATAATATAGAAAAGTTTCAAAATAGAAAAAGAATTAATAATAATAAAAAAAAAAAATAATAAAATAAAATAAACACAATTAAAATATAAATAAAAAATTTAATATAATAATAAAAAAAAAAATATTAGAAAAAAGCAAAAATATTAATATAATCAAAGCAAAACGAATTTTTTGTTACAAATGTTTTGAAAAAAAAAAAAAAATATTCTGCACATAAATAATAATTAGATTAAAAAATACACATAAAAATATAAAAATAACAGAGTAATAAAAAATAAAAAAAAAGGGTAAAAATATAATATTTATTTTTTTTTTTTTTTATCAAAATTAATTGCTTCAGATATATTTTTATTAAAATTATATCGATTTTCTGTTTTGTTTATTAACAGCTTATCTCTTGAACTAACACCATATTTTATTTTATTTAGTTTCTCTTCTTTTTCTTTTTTGTTTTTTTCCATAAGATAATTATTTCTCTTTTTTAATTCACTTATATTACTATCCTTAAAATGATGTAATAAACTTTTTTTTCTTTTTACCTTTTTGGATTTTCTCAGTGATTTTTTTTCTTGTTTATTCATTTCATTAGGTTGTTTTATATGATTGGGTTTATAATTTTCTTCAGGTGCTTTTTTACTTTTATCAGATAAAATAATTGGTACACATTCTTCTATATTTAAACTAGCAATTTTGTTATTTTTATCATTTAATAAAACTGGTTTAGGTATATAATAGTCATTTGACAATGAATCACAACAATGTATTATTTTTTTAAATAAATTCATAATTTCAATCTTTTGTATATTTATTTCTTTGTTTTTCGATTGACTACTTTTTATTTCTTCTTCATATTTTTTTGTATATTCATCAACTAAACTTATTTTACTTTTTGAAAAATTTAAATTATCAAAATTTACTTCATCATTATTATCGTCATTTAAATCTAAGTCTTCAATACATTTTTTTTCAACATCATCAAATAGCATATTTTTTATTCGATGTTTTACAACTAATTCAATTTCTTCTGTTAATAAGGCTATTTTATTATTTTTCTTTTTACTTGATTCTTCATTATTTTCATCGCTGTTATCGATATTTCCAATAGTTTTATTTATAAAAGTATCATTATTATTATATGTATTAATTTTTGGTATATCTACTTTTAATTTTAAAATACTATTTTTTGGTCGATCATAACCAAAAACTTCACCAGTTAAAGACCAGTGTTTTTTTTCAATTAATTCCTTTTCTATTTTTTCTTTATCTTTCATTATATCATGCATACTGGAATCTTCAGTTTCACTATGCATGCTATCAAATTCATTCATTTCGTTTAATTCTTTTTCAATTTTTTCATCATTATATTTACTCTTATTTTTAGAATATGTATTACTTTCTTCAGCGTTATCATATTCATCCTCTTCTGAGTCTCCTTCATTTTCATATTCATTTACATATTCATTTTCGTCTTCTTCATCTTCATTTTCATATTCATTTTCGTCTTCTTCATCTTCATTTTCATATTCATTTTCGTCTTCTTCATTTTCATATTCATTTTCGTCTTCTTCATTTTCATATTCATTTTCGTCTTCTTCATTTTCATATTCATTTTCGTCTTCTTCATTTTCATCTTCATTTTCTTCTTCATTTTCATCTTCATTTTCTTCTTCATTTTCATATTCATTTTCGTCTTCTTCATTTTCGTCTTCTTCATTTTCATCTTCTTCATTTTCATCTTCTTCATCTTCACTTTCATTTTGAACTTCATTTTTATCATCATTTTTTCCTTTTTTTTCTTTAATCTCTTTTTTATCTTTATAAAAATCATGATACTTTAACTCTTTAGCTTCATCATAAGAACAACTGAATTCATTTAAATCATATTCAGTGCAACTAACATCTAAGTAATCTTCTGAATTTTCTTCTGATTCATCATCTAAAATTGTTTTTTCTTCTTTATCTAAAAATTCTTCCATTTCCTTTAATTTAAAAAATTTATCTTCTATATCTGTTTTTTCGTCATTTTTTTCTTCATTTTCGTCATTTTTCTCTTGATTTTCTTCATTTTTCTCTTTTTTTTTTTTAGGAAAATTTTCATTTTTTCCTTCTTCATTTTCATTGGACTTTCTTTTTTTTTTAAGAATTTCATTATTATCATCTTTATATTTTTTGATGTTCATCTTATCTTTATGAGTTTCTTCTTCTGAATTAGAATTATTTGTTTGATCTTTCTTTTTATTTTCATCTTTTTCATTAATTTCTTTTTCGTAATTATTAAAAAAATTAAATAAATCATTAAGTTTCTTTTCTCTTATTAGGCATTCAATAAAATACCATAACTGATCAGAATCAAATTCTGATTTAGAAATACAGATATTATCCATTTGAAACTCATCGTAAAAATATTTAATTAATATATTTGAAAAATATTCAATCATTTCAATTAATTCATTTTTCTCTTTTTCATTATTTTTTTTTGATATTAATTCAGTGTTCTTATTAAACGAATTTATCAGATCAATATATTTTTTAACTACGCTTTCTTCCATTTTTTAAACATCTTAAATACATATTTTCAAAAAAAAAAAAAAAAAAAAATGGAAAAAATAAGTATATAGATAATTTAAATAAATAAAGTATATATTGAAACTAGGGGAATATATTAAAATCTATAAAACAAATAATTATTAAATATATATATATATATATATATATATATATATACTTTTAAAAGTAACAATTTTTTTTTTTTTGAAATATCTTATATCAAAAACAAATATTCTATGTAAAACATAAAAGTATATTTTTATAAAAAAAAATAAAATAAAATAACAAAAATAGAAAAAGAACAAATAAAAAGATATGTAAAATTAAAAAAAAAAAAATATTAAAAAAAAATGAAAATTTTTTTTTTTTTTTTTTTTTTTTTTTTTAACATGTGATATGATGTATTAAAAAAAAAAAAAAATAGTATGTATTTATGTTAATTATATCTTTTTTAATTGAAAATAAAATGAAAAATTAATTTTTTTATATTTTATTTTTAAGAAGAATTTTATAAAATTATAAATGATATATATAAAAAATAGGAGAAAAAAATAAAAAGAATTTCTTTTATATTTTTGTATGTTGTTTTAAAGAAAATATAATTTTTACAACTTTTTCAGTTCTTCCATTATATTCAAGAAAAATTTAAATGTATATAAGTATAAATAATATTTTTTAAATAATTTAAAAAAATAATTCAAGTTTTATTTTTTTAATAAAAATATATATTAATAATCTTAAAAATCATACGCAAAAGAGTTTTTTAAAAAAAATTTATGAATGAATATTATATATTTAAATGTTAAATACTATTATGTCGAAGTAAAACAAACAAGTTGTATTTTCAAGTTATATATAATAATAAAACAAATTATAAACTAAAATATATTAAAATAAGTTTAATAATAATTCAAAAAATTTATAATATTCATTTGTTCTATTGGATGCAAAAAAATGTTATATTAATAATTTAATTCAACATTAATCTTCAATTGCTCTAATAAATAATAGCTTTCTACATTTATCCTTTCATATTACTAATTCTACTAAAAGAATAAAAAATATTTATTTTCGCTATATAGCTATTATAAAATTTTCATTTTATTTTTTTGAATATTTAATTATAAATTTCTTAAAAAGACATAAATATAAATAAGAAATATATATGTATAAATATATGTAAATATATACATTTGCATATATATGAATAGAAATAAAAAAAAGTATGGATTAATATTTTTTAAGTATACTCATCATTATATTTGTATTTATCTATTAAAAAAAGATATAAATATTATAATAAATATTACATTCTTACTAACATTTACATTATCCTTCTTTATATGTGTGTCTAAAATTTTTATATACCTAAAGGAATTTTTTGAATTTTATATGCCCATCTTTTCCAGTTTATTCTTTTCATTTTAACTTCTTCTTACTCATTTTTTTTAATAATATTTTTTTCAAGTATTTGTCAAACTCAGAAATCTTAAGGTTTAATAAAAATAAATATTCACAAAAAAAAAAAAAAAAAAAGAAAAGGGTGACTATTATTATCAAAATTTGAAATGTAAAAATGTAAGTTACTTTCTCATTAATTAAAAAAAAAATATTTTAAAAACATTTTTTTCTTTTATGATTCGGAAGTGTAATTCTGTTATTATAATAATAAACATTTATAATTTTTAAAACTAGCATCTTTATAAAATAAAAAATAAATATAATTAATGCAACAGAAAATTGAACAAGATAATTTATCAAAAAAATTATGTATAATTCTATAGTGTAGAACAACTTTTTAACAATATCTATCATTCTTCTAATATTTTTATGTAATTAATTTTTATTATTTTTTTTTTTTTTTTTTTTTTTAAACCAAATAATATATTTAAAGAAATTATAACTTCATATAAAAATAATTTTTTTTTTTTTTTTTTTAAAAATATTCAAAAATAAAAATATTAAAAGACAAAAGAAATGGAAATATTAGTTATTAATTATAAACCATAAAAATGTATTTTTTTACAAAAAAAAAAAAGAATATATTTATAATTCATATATATATATACATATAAAGCAATAATTAAGAAAAAATAAAAAGCAACATTTTAATTAAATTAATATAAATTTTCAATTATAATATTTTTTAATGTCGTAAAAAATATCAAATTCAAACAAAAAATGAAAAAAAATATATTATTATTTAAATAATGTAAAAAATTTAAACGTATTTTAAAAAAATAATTCAACTCTGTGTTTTATATATGAACACATATAAATATATACATATATGCATATAACTCTCTTAAAATATTCTGAATAAGTAAAATTTTGTAAAAAAATTTAAAAGTTTATTAATTTATTTTAATTTTTTTTTTCACCTTTTTAAAAGAAAAAAATAATAATTATCCATGAATCTAAAAACAAAGATAAAAAAAGGTAAAAAAAAAAAAAAGATTAAAAAATAAAAATAATGTAGATTAACAAATATCACAAAAATTTTGTTAGCCTAAAAATTATACAACTATCATTTAAATTATATAAAAATGCGTGTTTTATATGTAAATTTTAATAAGATATAAAATCAAAGCATTATATATAAGTTTTCTATAACCACTTATTTTAATTTTATATTATTTGTTCTTTACATTTCAATTTAAATATTTTACTTTTATATTAATTTCTTTTATTATTTTATTTTTAATTTTTTTTTTTTTTTTTTTTTAATAACTATATTTTAGTGTTTTTTCATGTTCATGCAAAAAAAAAAAAAAAAAAAAAAAAAAAAA